GGCGGACTGTCCGGCTAGCCCTGTCCTCGGTTTCTGGCCGGTTCTCTTCTGCCGGGGGTCCCCAAGCCTTCGAGGGAGCCGTGGGACTCCGCTGTCCTAGCCCTAGGCAGAGTTTCCCGGCAGCGGGCGCCCTGCAGCTCGGGAGGGGAAACTTTCACTGGGCCCGGAGCCCGGCTGTGCGCTCCACCGAGCGCGGCGCGTCCCGGCTGCAGCGACGTCTCCTCGAGTCTCTCGGGACCGCAGCTTCCCTCCCGGTTCCGGGGCACGAAGCAGGCTGGAGGCGACGGTGCTGGATGGCTCAGATACGTCCCAGCTCCAGGCTGATCGACTCTCCATCGCTCGCTCTCGGCCTCCACGCAGCGAACCTTCCCATCCCTCCGGCGGCGCTGGCGGTTAGGGTACAGCGCGGCCCCGCACAGCGGCCGCTTCTTCCATCACCCGGTGGATGTCCGGACAGGCGGCTCAGGCGAGCCCCGGCGCTCCGTGGCCGCGGGCTGGCCCAGAAGGACCCTGGACACGTAGCTGGAGGCAAAAAAGAGCGGGACCCTCCCCCGGCACCGGCTGCTTCTGCCCAAGGAGATCCACAGGCAGAGGAAGCCCCCGCCGCGGCCGCACTAAAGCGGCGCCCGGGAGGATGCTGCTACCCGACTCCCCCTACGCCGGGCGCCTGCAACGCGCTCGGGCCGGCCTCTGCGCGACTCCTGCCAGCCCGCTCGGGGTTGGTGCGCGCCGCCGTCTGTCGCCCCGGCTCCTCCCCCTTCACCGCACTACCCTCCTCCTCTGCCTGTCCCACACCCTCCCTCCTATCAGCTCCCGACTCCCGCCGCCACCTCCTTGGGCCCCCCTGGGAGGGGGGGGCCCCGGGGGCCCCCCCCCCGGGGAGCCACACACCAGAGCTCTAGGTCCTCCCGGAGCGCGGCTCTGGCGCCTGATTCGCAGCTCTCCTGAACAACGGGAGACTGCAAGACTCAGTATCCGCTTTCGAGAAGAGTTGGTGGTAAAAGTTTGGCCAGAAATCCCCAGTTCGTCCCCAGCGGTCAGCACTGGTGTCCTCTCCTAGGGCGGGAGCAGCGCCGCCAGGCAGCGCTGGGTATAATCGGAACACAGTTCTGAGGCTTCGACCCTGGTGCTCGCCCTCTCCAGCTGGCTTGTGGTTTCTCCCTCAAGGAGGAAGTAATAAATCTTTCTGGCCCCAAGATCACTGAAGGCATTCAGAGGGTGTCTTTTGGCACCCTATCCGAGTGTCCTGGACTTGGACAGGACCACTAGGTTTCGATGACCCCAACCCCAACCCCACCTCCCACCCAGCAGATGCTCTAGGCTTGCGCTCCTAGTGGAGCTTCCACCTCTGCTAACATCCTCTGAGACACGGCTGATGGGGGATGGGGGGGCGCTTTGTTTTAATTTCTAGTAAAATACTTGTCCGGTCCCTTGACTTTGAAGAGGAAGAGACGAGATCAAAAAAACCTGATCGCAAAGGAAAACGTTCTTGGTCGTTGAAAGTTACTTTTTTAAACGGATCTGTGTTGGCTTACATACTTTTTTTAACTGGTGAGGAAGATACCGAGAGTAAACCATAGCCTCAGCTGTAAAATGGAACGTAACTCTAGGTGATGGCACGGTGGTTGAAGGTTAGGGGGCAACACAGTAAAGAGCTTACTCCAGTTTCCTCCTACAAGGGCGGAAAGGTGAGTGAGTCACTGTGGCCCTGAGATTCAGACCTGTGGTCAACTGCGGATCACTTGGGGGGCTGACTGCCCCTGTTCCTCTGAAGCCGTTTCAAGTAAAACACAATTAATGCCTCCCTCGGCCTGGAGATCCTTCTAAATTTAAAGTGTTGCCATTGATGACATGTTTCTTCAGGGAATCACATAGAATATCTGGTTACAAGGACTCTTGCGGATGGGGAGGGGGGATTGAACAATTGTTCTGTGGCTTTAACTAGTTTTGTTTTGGTTAGGTTTGGTTTCGTTTTGGTTTTTTTGTTTTATTTCGTTTGTTGTTTGGTTTTGTATGGGTTTAGTTTCAAAGTTTTAAAATTAAAAATAGCATGATGTAGGACCATGACGTGGGATGATTCTGTGGGTAAAGTCACTTGAGCCCCACCCTGAGATCTGAATTGGAACCCTGGAATCCAGGTGACGGAAGGAGAGAATAGATTCCTACAAGTTGTCCTTTGAGACCCATATCTGCTCCCTGACACGCCATGCCCCATCCCTACACACAGAGACAAATAAGTAATACAAAAAATGTTAATGGTTTGACTCCGTCCCATTTTCAAGAAAAAAAAAAAACATAATGTCACAAGTAAGTTTCAGCTGAAGTATTCCCTTATGGTTCTAATAAAGTATATGGATAAGATATTTCTAGAACAGACTTTACACAAATTGGGATGGAAGAATAGTGCTCTGCCTTTAAAACATTTTTATTCTTAGGGATGTTCAATGCCACAGCACTGGTGTGGAGGTCAGAGGGCAGCCTGCAGAAGTCAGCTCTGCATTGTGTGGGTACTGGTGGTGGAAATCTGGGTTCTCGGCTTATCGGCAGGGACCTTTACAGGCTGAGCCATCTCTCAGATCCATCAAATCCCACATGTGACTTTCCTAAGTAGATGCAGCATTTTATTTCCTCTGGGTAGAAATGAAGCCTGGCCAGGTGGTGATGGTGCACACCTTTAAACCCAGCACTCAGGAGGCAGAGGCAGGTGGATCTCTAAGTTCAAGGCCAGCCTGGGCTACAGACTGAGTTCCAAGGCAGCCAGGGTTTGAAAAAAAAAAAAGTGATGAAGTCTATCGATGTTGCCAGTAGATGCTACGTGTGTAAGTGTGTTGCCTTCCATCCTTTTGCCCGCATCCCCCTCCCTAGAAGGGGGGGTGCTTCCTCTCCCTTCTTGCCTCTACTCTTTCCCCACCAAACCTAAGGCTGTTTTTGAATGGAAAAAAATAAAACTGATGGAGGAAATAGGAACAGTGAAAAGAGAATAACACACCTATGGTCTCCATCATTATTCCAAGAAAAATACCTTCTAAGAGTTTGAGACTAATATCTGGGTTTGTGCTTACCCGGAAAGCACTCAATTGCAGTTATTTGAGGTAAGGGCCCTTTTAAAAAAACAATTGTTTGCATAGAAACAATTTTGATGCAATTGTATAACGCTTTCCTGGAGTTGGCAAAATAGTGACTCCATTTGTCAACCGCCTCCACAGTGATGTTCCGATGTGATGCTCAGCTGGCATAAATTCACAGGTTCTGGCATCTCCACCCTCTCCCTGCTTGCAAATATTTTACTATTTGCACAGTGTCATGATTAATTCCAAACTTTGTGACAGTTAATGATTTCCAAAAACTAGACGATGCCTTTCCACCTGCATTTGTCCAGGAATTTCTCTCCTTTGGGTCTAGTTATCACACACACACACACAAACACACACACACACACACACACACACACACACACACACACACACGTTAATAAATCATACAATTTCACTTGCAGAGGATCCCATCAGGCCACTGGGCTAAGTCTCAAAACACTGTTTAGTTCATTATAATTTGATCTCTTCCAGAATGCCCTGTGAGTGGTCCTGGCTGCTGCCCCTTTGCATGGGAAACTGTTCCTGGAAGGTGCTATGCTTTGACCTGCTCCAGGACAAAGATGGATTCTAATACTCTGTGATGTGAAAGGCCAGACTCAGCCTGGGGGATGTGGCAGAGATCACGTGTTTTCTGTAGGCTCTGGGCTGGGGAAAGCTGAGGCTGGCTCACAGCTGGTACCCATGCAGGTCTGCGTGTGAATCCAGGGCCCAGATGTGCCTTTCCGCAACATTCTCCCTGAGCACTAAAACTCATTCCATCCTTTGCATTTTCAACAAATGCAACTTTCCTGAAATCTTTGGTTTAAGACATACTGTCCTCATTAGTCCACGCCCTCCTCTTACATGTTCTAGTGTAATATAAGTATATGACTATATGCCTACTACATAGACCAAGAACACCCAAAGGTAATCAATCACTCCTACTAAATTTAGTTTAGAAACTTAGATGAAATGGTCACATTCCCAACGAGCATTTTAAAGAATGTTTTCCTTTACAATCTCAAAAGGAAATAGCTTGAATAATCTTGAGATTATTAAGGAACTGGGGCAGTCACTTAAAAACGTGTCCTCATGAGAAAAACAACTGGCTTGTGTGTATGGGGGAGGTGGGGGGGGCTGTTAAAGAAGATTCTTCCACTCTTTGAAGGCCTAGGTAGCTTTTATCTTATGCAAACAGTTCCACACAACAGTAACCGAGTAAGCACTCCCCCGGCTCCCGGTTCCCGGCTCACCCTAGGGGATATTATCTGGAAGGAGAGACGGGTGGGAGGAGGG